TTCGTTTTTTTCCGTGGTGTTACTTTGCGACGGGCCGTTAATAAATTTAATTCGTTAGCGAGCATCCGAGAAGGATCGACGAGATTGAAACGCGTAAAGATCCCAGGAAGCGACACAAAAGAGACACCTTAGTCGTCCGGTATAATTCTCTTTTTCAGGGGAACATCCAGCTGCGATGCAACATGGCGGCACCGGTGATGTAAATAGGAGACTTGTTCTACTCGTCCTGATTTTCCTCGTCGATACGATGTTTCGGTGAGCGACATGCCACCAATCTCTTGCGAATTCCTCCCGAATTCACTCCCTGAGGCGACCGCACGAATGCACGCTACGATGGAGAGGGATCGATGACACCGGTGTGTCCGGCGGCGTGGCGTATCATTGCAGTAAAGCCGAGTTATTCTTTTTTTTCTCTGTCTCTCTCTCTCTGTCTCTCTCTCTCTCTCTCTTTTCTATGGAAATTTCGCATGATATGCGTTGATGCTAATTCGGAATCATTTGTTTGACGGATTTTCATTGGCTCGGACTCTTTGGACTCTGTAACGATCGCTATAGAATACCCCTGCTCGAGATGTCAGTACGAATGTAATGTGTATGTAATGTAATAAATCTTTTGGAGTTACACAATTTGTCTGTTTATGTAAATCATTATTATCATCTCCTGATTATGATCATCTACTGTGACCGAGAATTCTTTCGTGCAAAGGTAAAACGTGCAAATCTAGAGAGGGATAGTATCAATAATCGTATAATATTGTAAATTTAATAAGAAATTTAATCATAAATTCAATAATAAATTATTATAGAAAGTTGATCTCTCAAACTATCTCTTAATGCACTTCCAGCCGAGCTCGTCGAAAAATCGATTTATTCCTTCGTCGTCGTAGTCTAATAAAATTGAAAGAGAAAATTACGGATGCACATAATTTGCGTAATTATATCTAGAAGCGCCGCGCCGTGACGAAGTACAATACAATTGTACCGGGTTTAAAGTTGTAAACTGTCGCGGGGTATCTCGCTAGACTTAACGACCCAATATAAAACCGTGCCAACCGGGCATCCTGGCGTTAAGTGCAGGAATCGGAAAAGCATAATCCGTAAAAGCACGCGCGTGACGCGCATTCGCTGCGCCGGGTCAAAGGGTTAACGCGTTGCCCTTCTTACTCGACGGCGCCCTGGAGAATCCCAGAATCGCCGTTACCTGCGCCGATAATGGAACGGTGAGCTTTCTCCGGGAATCTGATTCGACCACCGGGGAGCTCTTCTAGTCCGAGCTCGCCACGGGAGCTGCCTGATCCTGTCCGGTCTCATTTTATGCAAATCGCGCGAGGGAGCATCTGTTAGGCGTCCCGCAGCGAAGCGAAGCGTAGTCGCCGTTCGATGCAAATTCATGGCGGACGTAACGTCGATCTCTACTACTTGCTCTATCGAACCGTCCGCGGCGTGGTCTCTTATTCCCCACGTGCTTACGATATCTTTCCGGAGAAAAAATCTAGCGAGAAGCGTAAGCTTTATCGTAGAGTGTGTTATGCTAAACTTGTACTTAAAATATACATTTTGCTAAATTAAAAAAAAAAAGAGGAAGAAATTGAAACAGCTTCACTACACTGGAAAAAATTTAATAAATCTTAATGCGTATTTCTACGAATAGTACTAAGTAAATATTTATCCAAGTAAATTAATATTTATTTAATAAAAACTGATAGTAAAATCAAATTAAATGGCTTTTGCATCAAATAAATGTATGTTTATATTTAGTAAATATTTCTTTAAAACTATTCAAACAAATATTTATTAAAATTTAATTTTCAGTTGTATGCTAACGAATAGGATATTAAAAGATGACAGATCGTTATCTACGATGATGTAAATGAAAACGGAAAGGTTTGTCATTCGATTAATGCCGAATCGGGAATATTCATGATATTTTAACGCGTAGTACGATCTTTTTTTTTTATAAACAATCGAATGCAATATAAAAATATGCCATGTGTAACAAATTTGTGGTAAAAGTTATACACAATAAGACACAGAGAAGTGTTTTGGAAAGAGATTCGAAAAAGATTTTCAAATAAAATATCCGGATTGGGACGAGAGGCTTGCAACTGTGTAGCGTTTCGTAAACTTCGTTTGCAAATTTTCGTCTTTTGCTGCGACAGCCAGGAAACGTCGCGATGCCGGTGTAACATGGTCTCAGAGCGAGTTCCATCTCGGCAAGAGAGTTACGTGAGATCGCGCGAGTTAAGTTGGATGATCAAATTTTTGAACGCGCTTGAGCTATCGCCCACGCGAGTATCGCCCTAATGAACGAGTTTACGCCATAATCGCGTGAAGCTTTTGAGCGCAAAGCAATTTTCCCGGATATTTCCGTGGAAAATCCTGGCGCACCGGTGGTTCCGCAAAAGCCGCGAAAAAACCCATCGTCGCGAGCCTCGCGTAATTGATGTTCGCGACACCGCTCTATCGCGTTTCCACATCTCCGACACTTATACATATTCTTAACACTTTACACTCTAGGACAATCATAAGGGGACTAAGGAACATGCATATTGAAAAGGTAAACAGCTAAAGGGGGTTCCGGATTAGAGAAACTCTTTCGGTACTTACTTCGCAGTTCGCGTCGAAGTTTAATCAATAACAACGTTGTTTGGCGCTAGTCGCGATTCGGCTTGCAAAGTGGTACGTGAACCGTATAAACCACGCCAAGCAAGTTGAATTATTCGTGGAATGCACTATGCACGCAAATGCAGCCTTTATTGAGGAGTTTCGTCCATGGTCGAAACCTTATAAGCGAGAGGACGTATGTGGCGTGTCTGCAAGATTGTATACAATATAAAAGAATAGGATAGAGTGGGAAAGGATGTAAGACACGTTTATAAAGAAAAGAAAATGACTATTCTTTTCGCCGGCCGATTCACAGACTCTAGGCTCCATACATAATAATCCCCGAATCGCTGCCAAAAATAACACAATGGAGCGCCTCGGAGATTTGCGCGAGAAAGATTAGCATTGTGAGCGTGAAAAGCTTAGTCGCAAAAATACTTAACTGCGAACTGAACAGCTGCAAGGAGGATTACGTCGGATTTAATCTTCTCACTGAGAAAATATCGATTTCAAATCGGGCCGAGTAGCCGGCGAATATTTGGTTGAAAACGTTACCAATAGCAAATCTTCCAAATCGTGTTAGACAATTTAATTTCTTCTAAAACATTTGCTTCGGTTTAGTTACGCGGATCGCTTAACGATCGATCTAACATCTCGAGGGAAGTAAATACTGTCATATCTTTCCGCAACACGCACTGATTTTTATCAGTTTTTCTGCAGGACAGTAGCATTATCTGCAGATGTCAAATACGCGGGTAAGAGAAGAAAGTTTTGGGGTCGACCGTCTAAGAATTTCGCTAAGAAACTAAATCGGGCAGTTGCTGCTGCATTAGATGCTTGTACGGCAAGAGACCAGAGTTTTATCGAGTTAGCCAACGAGTTTCTGTGACACGTTCGTGAAAGTTAGCCGCGTAACTGCTGATCGTCCAGGAAATTCTGTCGATTGTTTATCCAATCCTCTTCTGCTTTTACCGAGTCCAGTTTTAAAAAAAGGAAAAGAAAAAAAAAACAGAAGAACAAAACCGGAAAGAGTAAAATTCCAAACTTTTTCGTTGAACGGAAGCGAAACGGCTCATTCGCCTTTATTTCACGTCTGTATGCACAAGCAGTATGAGTGGCCCCAGAAAAAGTTGAAAGAAAATTACAGTTAACTAAAATCATTATACGGCGCTAAAATGAAACACCGTGAAGTAGTAATGACGATATCACCGTCGACACCGCTTTGTAATAGCTTCGGTTTATGATAACCTACGGTAATAATGACGTCATTGTAATGCAAATTATAATCACGATGGCATTAATGATTTCATTAGTGGTCGGCGTTCCCAACAACGAAACTCTCGACGAGATGCTTTTTATCACGCGTCACAGTATATCGTGATTTCTGTCCGAATCGAACTGTTTGTCGATTCGCTGCATCGATCGCGAAAGTCGCTCGGGAAGAGACGCGTTTTGCGTTTACCTTGTGTTCATGATTCGTTAAAGTATATGAATATTGCAGCGATTACTAAATAAATCCCCAGCGAGGTGTTTTCAGCATAGTTGAGCCGAGAGGGTAGGTAAATTTCCTTCAGTTTGTCAAAGGAAGTACTTAACGTTCTACCGTTCAAAGCTTAGCAAAGCTCGAGGGCGTAACTCCTCTTATATCGATCGCGGTGTTTGCAATGGCACAAGCGTCGGATAAACGCGGTTCGTTTGTGGTATGGGATCATCTGCAATTGACAAACCGTGTCGATGCCCAACGATGCCGAACTCGCTCGATATCGATCTCGATCCGATACTTAATGGTCCCGTCCGGACAGTCGAAGAGTGAGACTTGCAAGAATGCATGTTACACCAGGGAATACTGCCCGGCACAGAAACTCGGCACTATTATCATTGTTGTTATGTAAAGTAAATAATAAATGCAAATAGAATCAAATGAAGTAAAAAAATGTCAAATAAAAACATTTTTTAATAAAAATGTAACAAAAAATAATAGGTTTCATTGTTATAACTTCTACGAATCGAGTTAATTTGGGGATTATCGTAATTAATTAGACACTATTTTAAACTTAATTATTTAGGATCGGTTGTTCCATCTTTGGATTAAACATAAACAAAAAATTGAAGGATCATCCAACAGAGAACGTTTAGAAATTCTGTCACAGTCCTATTTGAACGTCGTAGATTATGCGCGGACGTTTCTGCGGTAGGATTTATGGCGGCGTAGCGCACGTAATTATTTGCCGAAATTGCTCGCGAAACTAAGAACGGAGATTGCAATAATTTCCTCCTTTCAGCAACGCGGCTGAAATTCTTTTGATGAGCGTCCTTTGTTCCGTGCCGCCGTTCGCAACGATTCCTCCTCAAGAGCACAATTCGTTTATGTCACCTGTCACTGGAGACTACTTAAAATGAGTAAATACCAGGGTAAACAAGACGCTGTAATGCCGGCATCAAAGAGTAAATTATGGCACACTCTGAGCCAAAAAATGAGTGTAAAAATGCTAACGGATTTAGAGGTAAATACGTGATCAAATGTATGCAAAAGTAATTAAAAAATATGGTATGTCAGGTTAATAATTTTTAAATATCATATATATTTGTCAAATGTATTTGACAATACATCCAGGTACAGATAGATGCTAAAAGTATCATTAATTTCTCTTGATTCGAAATTTAAAAGTGTCGACTCTGAAAATAATATTCGTGCTGATGCATCCATCTTATTTTTGTTCCTTGCTTTTTAATACAATATGTATCCTTATCGATTTAATATTCTGAGATGAGCAAAAGTGGGCACTGTAAATATTCGAATCAATCAGAGGGTCTAAGACATTTATGTGAAACCGCTTTTATATGTATTTTTTTTCTTTTTGTCGAGTGTTATATCGAGCATTACGAAGTATCGCCATGGGATCTAAAATGGTATGTGTTTCTTATTTCTGGATACAGAACCAGCCCAAGAAAAAAACGCTGTCGAAGCTTTCCGTGATTGGTTTCAATGGGACCAGCATACGTTCTCCATCCAGTGCGGTGGAATAAATTGGATGAACGCAAATAAATTGAACGAGCGCAGAAAATGAACAAGTTTTAATATAGGTGAATCTCGATGCGCCAGGCGAATCGTCCTGTAATGAAGATTTTTCAAAAAAAAAGGAAACGAGATAAAAATTTGGCTCAATAATTTTTGGAAAAATTTGCGATTCCGATTAACTGTGTCAAAATTTTAATGCAACTTTGAAATTTTATCTCGTTAAGTATGCCTTTTCCATATCACATATTTTACTTATGTGACTCTTCAACACCGGCATCTTCTTATAATATGACACACCCATATTTCCACGGCCATTTCATTTATTATCATCGTTGAATCTTTCCCCCCGATTTATTGTCGCGTTAAGTTCCGTCCTTGCGGACAATATTGATACAGCGCTTCTTAACGTCTGGTCAGATCCCGAGATATCAGAACACCTATCGTCTGGAATCGTATAAAGCTTTTCATGCAGTGGCGGTCGACAAGATCATTCGTGACGTAATGGAGATCAAATTATCTACGATTACATCATACCAGCCAGATCAGACATCAAAATTGTGTTTGGAAATTGCCGGTGACGTGCTGAAGGCTGTCTACAAGAAGGATTACGACAGGTATTGAAATTATGGAAATTTATTTCAGATTGAATTCCACTTCTCCCTGCTTATTTCCGTCACTTTCCTCATCCTCCTATCTATCTATATATATATACAGAGTGGCACGAATATACGGTCCCATTCGTCCCGAACAGGCAGAGTGGACTAAACTGAATAGAAAAATATCCTCCCATCTCAAAAGTATGAGTATCCTCTCATTTTAGAGACACTAACGTTTAAAGATAGCCGAATATGCAATATTCGGCTATCTTTAAACATGCAATAATAGGTCCTCCCGACCTATTATTGTCGAAGGTACGGCTCACCGAGCGCGGACCGCGAGAAGGGCCCGAACTCTACCTGCTCGGGATGAATGGGGCCGTATATTCATGCCACCCTGTATATACATATATACTGTGATCTTTTATAAAAATTACAAGTATCCTTCATTTTTCACATTCTAAAAGACATAGGTTGCTATTGTATTCATGTACATCGAAAATGTCTATCTAATTTATTCTTTTTACGCGTTGAATGAAATACCATTATCTTTGCCAAACAAATAATTAACGATATGTGTGTAACATAAATAAATATCAACATTTACGGTGATCGAAAACGAGAGTTTAATAACGTTTATGCAAAATTATATAAAATTAATTGTACAAGATCTAAAAAAATTATGATTAGGAGTATGATCCAATCCGATAAGCCGTAAGAATATTTGTTTAATAAGAATATTTGTGAGACACGATTATGTTTGCGACTAGATACAAGATAGTGACGCAAGTATACATAATCCAGCGCTTCCAACAAAGTATGAACGCGGCCTTCCAGTGTCTCTGGGACGTGGAACGTGATAATTACTCGTATCACGTGTTTGAAAACAATCACATATACGCATGTTGCTGTGTGTTCGGTATATATTATGATTAAACACAATTCTGAACTAATATCTCGCATTAAACTCACTGCAGCAGTCTCATTAGTTTGTAATATCGATATACACATTGTAATGCTTATACATATTTATCGAGTCATCGTAAACTCAGCACATTAGTAATTTCAATGGTACCGATTTCAAATGTAATAATATATATATCATGAATAATAACATTGTATCGGGTGCGAATACAACGGCGTGAGAACACTCGATGTAAATCGCGCATAAAATGTACGAGAATGTGTGAAAATATAAAATATGCGTGTATAATGTATAATGAGAAATTAAAATAAAAGAAAAATATTAAATGTGGTGGAAAATGGAATCGGCAGCAAGTTAATAAAATCTTGATATGATTCTGCTTAGCTTCTATATGTAATTAATTATTTTCGGCATGAAGAGGTAATGCTTTAGACTTTCAAATTCGCAGAACCGTCAAAGAAATCATCACGCGGTTGAATTTGTACCTGCGTAAAGCGCCTTGTATCGTTCAGAAAAAAAAAAGGAAATAATTGTTCCGTTTAACAATTCGAGAATAAAGAAAGTATGCTGGAATTCTTAATTCAATCCGTTGATAATGACGATAATAATTATCGTTAATGTGGCATTCGAGCAAACTAATCGCTTGTAGTAAAATGCACCGGGCGACGCTAATGCTGGAACAATTACTTTACCGCGAACGCATGGCTGCAGCCATACAAAGCCATTGTTTTACTCGCGACAAAACGAGAAGCTTCTTGCACGGTTTCCCTGATAATTACGTTTCTTCAACTACGAGCGATGACCCGGGATCGCGTCAGGCTAGGGTGTTTAAAAAGTCCGGTAATTGTTTCTTCCTCCGACGGAATGAACAAAGGGTGACTTAAAAAGGTTTCCTAGTGCAACTCATTTCTTGCACCAAGTCCGTCGTACTATATATAAGGTGTTCCATTATCGGAAAGGGTGACTTCGTTTCTTCGAATAGTTCGATTTTTGACTTTACAATTAGTAAAGTTTTGATCGTGTGATTTTTAAATTCTTTCTCAAGTGTGATTTATTTTCAAATATTCTATATCTTAAATTTATATATATTATATACGTATAAAATTATAATTACAACATTAATTTTCGGAAATTAATAGAAAAGAAACGTATAGCTTGATCTTGAATTTCTGTTACAATCTTTTATCACTTACGAGTCAAATATTATGTCGGTACGTTGTGATACTTTCATTGGGAGAAAGTACACTTTAATTCCAAAAGATGAACACGTGAAAAAGAATGTGAGAATCTGGAACATCCGGTATATCCGGTATATCCGGACATATTCGACGGGGTTGTTTCAACTAGCGGAATGACTCTGGAAAAGTTCTGATCGATTATGCAGTAACCATTCGCTATTAATATTTATTGCTTTCGCGACTTCGTGCTTTCCACCCTCGTTTCTCTTCGGCCTCGGCGTGATGATTTATCGGGAAACTTTCGGTTGGCTCGTCTATCCCTCGTCGGAATAATAGACGGCGGTTTAAAGTTCCGGCGACATCGTGAACATTTTTATGAACATTGGCACGCTCGCCGGAACGTGCCTTCGATCGCGAAGCGGCGCGATTACGTTTTGCGAGCGTGATCGCACTGCGGCGAAATGGAAGTAATTTTAACGCTCTCTCTCTCCGAGAGAGCCGGGTGGCGAATGGGAGAGAAGAAAGATTCGAGAAAACGGAAACGCGCTACACTTTTTGCATGGCGAATTCAGGGAACGGGAATCCTCCGTCTCTAATCTAACTCACGTGCCACGGATTTAAAACACGAACGACGATGGCACGTGCGATCAAAAGGTAGGTTAGTGTGTACAAAAGCGAATTCATTAAAATAATAATTCCAAGCCTGTTGATTCTCGATTGGTTATAGGATGCAATCGATTGCGCGTTACGTTGTAGCTCGTGACGTTGTCAACCGCAGACGACGGTATAGTTTAGTCGATCGAACCCTTTCAGCATCATTACGCAAAGGTTCAGAAGAAAAATGGATCGATGTAGCCGACACGCTGATAAGCAAAAGATGGAAGAGATTTTGTTTTATCGGCAATCGCGCTCTCACAATTTATGCGTCACTGCGGACTCCGTTTATTTCACAATCAATGGCAGTTCTAGGTTATAAGATCGGATCGAATGAGGAAAATTTTAATGAGGATTGTTATAATACAGCGTATCATTAGTCATGATATATATAATTGTCGTTCTGTAATGTCAATAATATATATATATTAGGTGCGCAACTAAGTTCTCGCTGTTATTTTGATGCATTTTCATCAAAATAACAGCGAAAACTTAGTTGCGCACCTAATATATATATATGTGTGTGTGTGTATATATACATATTGTATATATATTTTCCCTGTACTAATATTTCCTATACTACAATAAATATTATCTAGATATGGAATAAAAATTTACGATTTGTAAAATTGCAACACGTATATCAATATTGTACGGATAAACAAATATCTACAACCACCGAGCTTCCGTATTCTCTTGCGGTACTGTTATAACGACAGCACCGACATTATTTAGCGTTTCCCTTCGGCGATAATCAAAATAATGAAATTATTTGACCGGGAAAATTGATACGATACGCGCCTCGCGGGCCTCGAAACATAGCGGGACATAAGCTTCCCTCTGTTCTCTGGCAAGCATCCTGGCTGGAAATTACGGGGAAAATGTGTGGCAGTTCTCTCTCTCTTTCTCTCTCTCGTTAAATTAATGGCGCAATTTCGATGTCCTGCCACGTGACACCGCGGTGTTGTGCGCGAGGGATGTTGCCGCCGGCAAATCGAAGACTGAAACGGGAACCGAAAACATTTGCACAACCCCTCTCCTAAAATAGTTCACGACTGAAATTCCGCAGCGTTCGCCTTACCTGCCTTTCCACGACTAACGTATCGAATGTATTTGCGTTACGCTATTAACTCGATTAGCCATCACCTTCAACCCTCGGGATAATTTATTAACGTGGTAATCTTTTCGCCTTTATGTAAAAAAAAAAAAATCAAAGAAGATATAGAATAAAGTTAAGTCAGATATCGATTATTCTTATGCAAATTGTGAATCTTTAGACTTTTAAATATCATATTTTATGATTTTTTAATTTCTTTTAATTTCTTGAAAATTTCTTAAATCTGCTTTCTTATGAATTTTTTATGTTGGAAAACAATTATGAAATTTTAATGAGTTTCATGGGATTGCTAGGAGGTATATGGGTGCTTTTAACCGCGACGCCAGTAATAGATACTTATTTAGCAGCGAATCACAGAATGGACGAGACATGTTTTTCCTCGGGCTCGTCTGTTACAAGTATAGCGTTAATATAATCTGCATTGTTTAAAGAGATTATGCGTGTTCCCTCCGGGATTTGTAAAATTACACTTTATAGAATGACCGTGTATAAGACTGTGTATACGCGAGGATACTTTGTTCATTTTAACAAGCCGTGCTGAGAGATCTCGCCTTCGAAGTTATAATTAAATTTTCCTCGTTAAAAGCGATCCGTGGATAGCGAAGAAGGGAGGCGTGAATCGAACATTGTTTTCGATGATTCGTTTATTTTATTCAACTTTTAACGAACCGAATTTTAAATGTCATCGCCTAATATGATAGAGTATACCGCGGTGATTTTCAAATATAATGTTTCTAATGCCAAAAATAATACAGATTTATATCGCGTCTCTCGAAGAAAATGGAGTTATTGTAATGTCAAGAGATACTTTATCAAGAGATACTTTTCGCCTATGTCCGGAGCCTTTGTTCAGATATAACAATTAATCTATTGTAAATTAACGCAAGTTATTAGTATTTACCTAAATAGAATCTTTTCAAATGTACTTAAAACTTATTGTTTGTTCTTGTGATATAAATGTACATATTAATCTTCAAGGTGTCTTTTAATTTCAATTTCGTACAATCTTCGATATTTTACAAGCTAAAACGTGCAACTTATAAAATAATTTCATTTCGTAATCTTTCGATTGAATATCGCAACGTTTAACGATTCACATTTTTTTTTTAACAATCTGAAAATTACAGCGAGTATATCCTATAATGCAATTGGTTACTTTGCAAAGCACAGAAAATCCCTTGGAATTTGCAATAGTTAATCCTCATGTTACACATGTACTCACACGAAGATAGTACGAATGCGTTTTATGTACAGATTCTACAATGGAATGCACTAGTCACAGGAAATTCCGTAGAGCAGTAAACCATGCATGAGTGCACACGAAAGCAAAATTTACCGATTTACGAATTTGAATAATAATAATTCTGCACATAAATCTTATGTTTCCAGTATCATTTTCCTATCATTATTTGTTCTCTTCTTCATTTTTCTTTCACTCCTTTTCTATTATAATTTTAAGAAATTCTTTCTTTCTATTGAATACTTTTATTCTATTATACATTAATCATCTTAGTATTTCTTCAAACAAATAACACATTGTATGCAGGTAGAAAAAGAACACCTATTTATTATATCTATTTACTACATTTGACCATTTTTAAATTTTAAAATGCGAAGCAACAGTGATAAAAATAGCAATAGAAATGTTATAGAAATAAACATATAATTGTCCCATTGCACAATGCAAAGAAATAAAAGTGCACGTGAAAGAAATAAAAATGCCAATCAATTTGATTTGATATATTACATATAATATATTATTATATATTCTTATGTATTCTTATGTATATTGTTCTGTAGTATATTTTTCCATCTACTTCAAGATTACAGCACATATAAATAGAATGAAAAATATGAACGCTGATTGGTAGGCTATAAAGTGATAGACACAGAATTCCAACTCGTCGGAAATTGATCACTATTGCCTTATTCCGTATTCCTATGTGCACTGACATATGCATTCCCGTATGTTGGATTCCCTCTGTTCCTATTATTGCAATGTCTATCGCTATCGCATTGTGTTAGGGCTTTAGAAAGTCTTGCTTCTTTTGATATATAAGAT